GATGAATAGAGAGGTCCCTGGGGAGGGAGTCTCTGGCAGCTCATTCAGCACCTGCGTTGTGGAGGGTTTTAGATGGGCTCAGTGCTGGTTTCTCTCACTGTGACTTTCGCACAGTAATACGTGGCGGAGTCCGAGGCCTTCAGGCTGCTCCACTGCAGGTAGGTGGTGCTGATGGACTTGTCGGCTGAGATGGTGACCTGGCCTTGGAAGGACGGGCTGTATCTGGTATCAGAATCACTGGGATCAATCATCCCCATCCACTCCAGGCCTTTCCCAGGCATCTGGCGCACCCAGCTGATCCAGTTGCTGGTAAAGCTGTATCCAGAAGTCTTACAGGAGATCCTCAGAGATTCCCCGGGCCTTTTCACCTCTGCTCCAGACTGCACCAGCTGCACCTCGGCGCAGACTCCTGTGGGGGAGATACAAAATTTGAATTGGGGCTCCTTTCTCCCCATTCTTTTCTGTGACCTCAACCCCTGGGCAGAACTGACCTTGGAGAACAGCCAGGAGGAGGGCGAGGATGGCAGCTGACCCCATCGTGGTGGAGGACAGAAAATGAAGCAATGAGATCCCCAGCTGGACGGTGAGGGAGGCTGACTGTGGAGGGGAGCCCTGGGTTTAAGTGGGGAGGCCCCCACTTGGATTTGCATAGTTGTCACCCTGCCCTGAAGGGAAGAGTCTACAGGATTTATAACCCAGAACCTCAAATGCAGAAAAAGGTTGGCCTGAGCCTCCTGGGAGGGACAGAATAAGGTCTCAATAATTCCTTACACCCTGCTGTTGTCCCTCTCCACAATTTTCCATGTTTCTTCGAGACCCATCCCAGGGTCTCCCTTCTTCCACCCTTCTCTGTGACCCTGTGAAGGTGACAGATCTAGATGAAACTAGGTATGTTAAAAAATGAGAAATAGAGCCAGGAAAGGCCATGAAGAGAAAATTCAAATACATGTATATCTGATAACAGTAACTACCAAGAAAACTACTCTCTATTCCCTGGCAATTTCACATGAGTTGGACTATGGGCTGGGCACCAAGCAAGGGCAGGACCACTTCAGGCCTTCTACAGTCCTCAAGTTGATTAACTTGCCAGACCTTCACCCATGCAAAAATCACACAATTTTCCTGGCCATTTTGTCTTCTAGATTTCTGCATTCTGCCAATTCAACATGAATAGGGAATAGTTGTTTAGGTCTCTGAATTGCTGATGGACCTGAAGGGATCCCCATTGCTGCACCCAACTCCTGGTAGTGCTGTTTCAAGTCCTTTGTGTCAACCCCAGCACCTTCTTGTTTCTTTCATTCTTTATCTTTTATTTTATGACATCCACATTGCTTGGAGGAGGCCCTTAACTATCCCCTTTGTCTGCCCCATTTTCTTGTGAACCACTCTCACTTCATTAGCACCTAAAAGATCCAAAGGAGAAGCCAAGGCGACACAAACTACACAGGTTCTAAAGCTATACAGGATGTGGGATCCAGTGCACCAGGAAAGCTGTCTCATCAGGAACATCCTACTTGAGGTTGGGATCAGAGACAGCCGTCTGTCATGTGTCTGTTGTGAGCTGTGGGTCCAGCATCCTCCCAAACATTCTCCTCTCATCTGCAGCACAGGAAGCCGGAGACACTGCTGTGTCAGTCACTCTCACAGTCCATTGGCTAACGTTGTTCGCAATCCGATGATATCAATTAATGATATCAATCATATTACCAAATGATGCCACTTCCCATACTGTCTTCCTTGTTCTAGTTGTCTAGTGGATTCTCCCCACCAGCCCAACCCCTGGGCTACCTTCTGTGTGGCTGTTGTGTGTTGTGTGTTGTTTCTGGACAACTGTCCTCTTTGGTGGTGAATGGGAGTCTAGCAGCCTCGGCTCACAGAGCACAGTGCAGGGCTGGATGTGCATCTTTTTACTTTTATTTTTAGCTATCACAGATATGAATTGCATATTCGGATTGTTCATTATTTTTACTTTTCCTTATTCAGGGAACAACTCTTAGGAAGCTGTGTCTGTCATTTCTAAATTCCATGAATCACTTTCACTTCCTGCTCCTAATTGGAGCACACATGCCATCTCATGCCATATGATTCTGTAGCCAGTCTGGCATTGAATGTCTTTTATCCCACACTTTCTCATCCTTTGATGTTATAAACTTATCCTCTAGCCATGTGTCACAAGTCAGGAACTTTCTAGCATTCTCCACCTCTGATGTAATTGTGTTGAGTGTCCCAGGGTCATCCTCAGGCCCCATAATCAATAGAAATAAAGGACTCAAGACAAGCTGTTATTCTCATGGGTGCAGCTTTATTATAGCAAATGAATATGAATTAAAATGAGCAAAGGCACCAGGGAGAAGGTCCTGAGAATCCAGGCACAAACTCCCAGAAGTTCTTTCCCTGAGGAGTCTCTTGTCCCCATTTTCCCCCGCAGTGATGCATTACACCACATGTGAAGCGTTGTCCACCAGGGAAGCTCACCTGAATGCTGGGGCCCATTACAGATGTGTGTGGCACCTGCACGACTGACCTCCAGTGCTCAGATGCCGGCCCCTTGAGCAATAACAGGTGTTCACCATAAGTCATTATGGAATCAGCTAGTATAGTGTGCACCCAGGCTACACACACAGATACACAGACAGACACAAACAAAAACACATTTTAACTAATAAAATAATCATAATATTAAGAGAGATAAGAGGAATGTTTTGGAAGTAATTGCTATGGTTATGACCTTGATGGTGGGGACAACTTTGCAGATGTACACTGACTCCAAACTCAATGAGTTAAGTATGTTAATTCATGTGTAGTTTTACAGATGTGAACCTTACCTTAATCAAGTGCTTTAATAATACTACCAGGAGGAGTTTGCCAGAAAGTCAGATATCATCTCCCAGGAGCTGAGTATGGGCCTGGCTTGATAAAGCACTTTTTCAGGAACGTTCAGGGTTTGCACAACCCAAACCTGCTTCATAAAGCATTTCCTGTACACAAGTCCAGCTGAGATGGAAGCAGGCTCTTGGAGTAAAAGGCAAGGCTCAGAAGAAAAGAGAGAAGTGGTGAACAAGGAATGACCCCGTGTAGGGTCAGTGTGGATGGGAGGCGCGGCTGAGAGCCTGTGGGTGGAGAAGAATGTGGACCAGGGGCAGGAGGAAAAAAGGCAGGGGGGTTCTTCCTGAGCCAAAGCAGATATTTCATGGAGGGCACGGGCAGGGGCATGCACAGGCACAGACGGGTGCCATGGAGTAGGGGAGCCATTGGGGTATAGACCCAGGACACAGCATAAGAAATACAGACACTCCCAAGGCAGCAGGCACAGAAACAATGACAAGCCTCTACCTTGGGCTTCCATCCATGTATCTAAGATAAAGTGAACTGGTTTTTCAACTTGATAGAAATGACTGAATCTCACAGTCATTTCTGAAACATACAGTTATTGGTACTCACAGGTTCTGGACAAAATATTGACATCCCAAAATACACTAGTATAGAAAAAAAATAAGAATCTGCTTCTATCCAGTTTGCAAGTATTCAAGAGCAATTCAAGAGCTTCTGACATTTATGCAAATATATGGTAACAATTTGTCTCTTCAAACTTATACTCCAACAGTAATAAGAAACAACAGACAACAATTGGCCTTGTATTATTATTTCTATCTACAATGATGGTAATTTTTGAGGCATGATAACCTAAGTGTCCTAATTCTGAACCCACATTTAGAACTGAGCAGCCATCACTGGCAGCAGAGGTCCCCCACATGGAGACACACCTGACTCAATAAAGCTGCACTTGGGGGTCCCTGCAAGCTCCAAGGTGTGGAGAGGCAGCTCCCACCTCAGACACAGTTGGATCAATCTCTGCTCCTTCTCTGAGGAAGGTGAGGCTTAGTGTGTGGAAAGGACCAAATTTGCTTGACTCAAGATCTCTGCACCTGAACGAAACCAAAGAATGTGATCACCATGTGGTTTCAGGCTGGAGTTGAAGAATTTCTTAGGAGAAAGGCAATGCTGTCAAATCCCCTCTCAGAATTAAGAAATAATGCATGTGTTCAGGAGAAATGCGGACATGACAGTTGTTTACAGGCTTGTTTTCTTGATCCCCTAGGTCATCTGAGAGAAGAAAAAATCATGGTTTCTATATAAAAATGCATAAACAGTGTGTTTCCCCTGAGAACGCACCTCCCATTTCTCCAACATCTGGGAACCCACAGACCAGGCACCCAGCTGCTGTTCTCTGACATCCATCACCCGGTCAATGCAAAGACATGTGTCCTGGGAGCTCCTCCCAGACAGTGATTATACACAGTGGAGATTGTAAGTCCTGTCTGCTGCTGGGACACAGGAGAGATCCCTGATGGGTGGGTTTGGCCCAGGGAGGCATCAATGGTTTTACTAGACTTAGAGTGGACCATGGCGTAATTAGGAGGTTTGATCAGAGTTCCCCGATTTCTCATGTCTTTGTCATCAGATCTGCATCCACATCTGACAGTTTCCACAGCCTGCCTGGCCTCCTGTGACATCTTCTCCCTCAATTACTGATTCATTCCATAGGGGCATATGATAAATTATTTTCTAGTAGTAACCTTTTCCAATCCAGAGGCCTCAATGGTAGGCAGAGAACCATAAATACAGAGAGGCTCCCAGGAGAATGCATTTGGTGCAGAAGAAGCCACAGGGTCTGACAGGAAAGCAGCCCTTGAACTCCACCTGCCCCTGCCCTGGGCTGCTCCTGTCTCCTGTGGGTGCTGAGTGCCCCCTGCAGCCAAGCCACCCCCCGTGTCCTGCAGGGCGGTCTGTCTCTGAGCCCACGTGGACTTCCCATCACAGTGTCCCCTGCACAGTTTTACGCTGCCGTGTTCTGGGTTCTCAGGCTGTTCATTTGCTTGCACAGCACGTACTTGGTGTTGTCTCCGGAGATGGTGAGTCTACTCCTAACACAGTCTGCATCGTATTGATGAGTTTCACCACACCATGTAACTGCAGCCCATTCCAGCCCCTTCCCTGAGGCCTGCAAACCCAGTGAATCCCATAGCTACCGAACGTGAATCAAGAGGATGCACAGGAGAGCCTCAGGGACCCCTCTAAGCTGTACCAAGTCTCCCCCAGACTCTGTGAGCTGCGCCTCACACTGGACACCTGCAAACACAGAGACATTCTGGTTAGAAACTGTCACATAGCCACCGTTCCTTTCACAAGCATCCACTTGACCTCCCAAGATGTGCTGGAACTCAAGGTCCAACATCACCTTTGAGGGCCTTGGTCTACTGTGAGGTCATTACACCTGCTCTGCCTTCAGGAATCTGAGGCTGCGGGGAAGGGTCAAGAGACTGACCTCTTACTTACTGCTCACCAGTCCTGAGTCACAGAAATTTAAATGGAGAGTTTCACGTGTTCAATTCTATGAAGGCAGCAGATAACCTGAGAGAATACAATAGTATACATACGAGGATTGATGAAAACAAAAATTAACAATTTAAATTTTTAAAATCACATAAAAATCACTGGCAGTTGGATTTAGTTTTCTTTGAAAAATTAAAGGCACATATTGTAAAACTGCTGTTTTTAAAGCATATGGGAATATATTCTTAATTAGCCTATATA